CGGCTGGGCTTATTAGCCGTGGGCTTAATAACCGGCGACTACTGTACTTAATTAAATATCAGTTTCTATGATTTTAGCACCCATTCGTCAAAATTACGGCTATCTGGTTACATAAAGAATAAAGGTGGTTGACAGCATCTCCATTAGTTCATATACAGCTACATAATGCCCTTCAGTTTACTGTTTTCCAGCTACCGTTGTCACTCTTCTTAGATTAGTTAGTTTTTCATTAAGCCGACCGGCAGGGGGTGTATTTCTCATAGCATTAATGTGTTTCAATCTTAAAAGTCATTATCTGGCGATTGTTTGAGATATTTCCTTGGCCTTAATGTTAACGAGGTATCCAAATACAATTATTTTATAGTATACGCAACTAGGTGAGCTGAATTCCAGGAGGTCTTATGATGAAGATTATAATTAAGGTTATGATGCGGGAAGAGTCACACATCTTGGAATTTAGCGCAGGTAGTAGCCATTCTCTTATCCGAAAAATAACTTATTAAGACTTGCAATTTTATTGGGGGCTTTATAAGAAATCAATGGATCGATAGGGCGATCTGCCACGGGCGTATGCGTTTTAGAAAACATGCATACGAGGGAGTTTGTAGCCCTGCAAACTTACAAAGACGCTGTGCATCTTAAGATCTCACGAATGGCTGAACTCTTGAAAAATAGGATAGTTTGTATTGCTTTGCATCCTAAGGCCAGGGCTGATGTTCGGACTTAGTAACTACCATCGGTTTATAGTTTGGTATTCCTTATGATAAAAAAGTACAATTTCATAAAGCACGAACACGTAGAGGAAACTGTGACAGCAGTATATTTCGGTAGGACACAATGATGAGTGGTTTCCACCCCTGTATTACAGGTGACCTTTTCCATAATTTATAGGTGATTGATGGTCATGTTTAGGAGGAATAGAGTTAGAGTCGAACGCGAGCATAGGTTCTCCTGGAATGTAACACGACTACATTTCGAAGGCAGACACTTGTACCCGTGTCAAACTCCATCGAAGTTAAACAGGCTATCCATTGCGGTAAAGAAATTATACAGTACTGCTTACAGACGTACTAGCTAAACGCTAAGGCACATGTTTTGCCGATAATTCTGCTGCTGCATTGCACAGCAACGACGGGTTCGTACTACCACTTGTTTGTAGAATGCGTATTGCGTGGTTGTTCCGCGGAAGTTAATTTTCTTCAACTAAAATGTTCATAGAAATTTCGGTGTTGACCCTAAAAAGTCATGTTCCAGTCACCCACCTCCAAGTTATGCACTTAATAATTTGCAAAAATAATTTCCCAATTATCATCAGGAGGTCATATACCAGAAACCGCATAGAGAACGTTGGAGGGCCACTGAGGAGCCAAGCCTAGTTTTGCTTTATCACGCAGCAGCAGAAACATCGGTGAAACACATGCTTAGGCTTTAAGCTAGGACCTGGTACCTACTACTTTTAGTACTACTTGCTCGTAGAATGAGCATTCCGTTGTTAATCCACGATAGTAGGTTGTCTTTGACCCAAATGTTAATTGAAATGTCTGAAATTATTCACTTGATTAGTCTTTGGAGTTCATATTACCAGAAACCTCGTATAAAACGCTGGTGACCGATGTATGCCTGTTCTACTCATTTTTATAAAGATAACAACAAGAGGCCATTTTTCATTAACGATTATGCTACCTCCATTGCAATACTTGAAAAAACTGTAGTGAATATTATGTGAGGGAGGGAGAGAGAGAGGTTACTTACCTTTCAGTAATAAATCGATAAATTCCGCTCAGCGTGATTAATTTGTCCGGTTGGGCATTTATTGCCATCGTTATGAGGGCAATGTAGGAGAATGGCGGTTTCATTGTGGCCTGTTCGTCCATCAGCAGGCGTTGCTGTTGTTGTTGCTGCTGTTGGTGGTGGTTTGGTTGATGTTGCAGCATCCTCGCCGACTGATCCAGAAGTGTCGTTGGCTGTGGTGACCGCGACTGTTCGACCGTCTCCCGTCCCAATGGTGTACGGTTAC